GTAAAGGAAAAACAATTAAAATATATATGTAAAAACCAGCAAAATTTAAATTATGTGTTAAATATATAGACTAATTTATTGAAACTAACCTGGAAAAATAAATAAGAAAGGCAATTAAAATATAAAACAGGAGATAAAGTTCTCTAATTGGTGCATTTTAAGTGTATTTATTTAATAGTTCATTTATATAATTCTGCTTTTATTTCTAATTATGTCAGTGTTGGTCCTCCGTACTGCAGAAGCCTGGTAATCATCTATTCCTTCATATCAGGTGTGTTGGAGCAGAGAAACAAGTAAAACATGCAGGGCTGCGGCCCTCCAGGACCAGGACTGCCCACCCCTGGTTTAGATGATGCGAAGTCAGATTTATTTTATAAATACACAACATTTTTATAAGTAAAAGTTGTCGTTTTTTTTTTTTTTTTTTCAGGAGATGTTGAGCAGCAATCTCAAAGACAATCTTTGTTATTTTCAGATCTTATTGTTTTATTCAGCAGGTGAAGATTAAAGAATAAAATCAAAACACAGCCGTTCCTTTATAATTTTGTTGTGCTTGTGTAGGACTTGTGTCCTTGTCCTTCTGATGGTGGACTGAATGAGACCAGGTTTTTGTCTTTCCTCAGGTTCTTGATTGCACCTTTGTTGTGTTTGCCTAAAGAAAATTACACAAATTAACATGTTATTGCTGTTTTTGTTAAGTAGCTAATGTTTTAACTCAAAAAATATGGTTGTTTGATGTTTTTTAGTCAGTTAGTGCATTGTATTGATGAATATAATTATATTGAAAAATATAATTAGCTGTTGATGTTTACAGATGGTAAAAAATAAGAGGCTTAAAATCTTTTCATCTCATGGGCTGCTGCTTCATAAACTGTGAAGATACTGATTGGTATTAAAAATTGTATATTTTTTTCACTTTGATGAAACAGCAAATACAGTACATGAAGATACTGGATATTTTTAAATACCTGATGATCGTCACCAACTCCACTCACCTTCTTTCTCTCTGAGCTCCAGCAGCGTTGAGCTTCTTATGTCTGGAAAATGAACATGCGACTTGTTTTTGGCCATTTCACTGATAAAACTGTTTTCTGACGCCTGAAAGAGCAAAAATAATGATCACTTTGGACTAATCTTTTCTGGTGAAAGACAGAAAGCAGATCCAGTTATTACCAGAACGGTGAAAGATCCGGTAAGTTTGCTGGCAGCGAATTGTTGATTCGGTCGATCACGAGTTCCACTGTAATCCACACATCTGTGGAAGACGTGGAGAAACGTCAGCTACATGTTCAAACACTGACTGTAAAGACATCGTACTGAGGACTCCTGGCACCTTTGGTCTCATTAAAAGAAACCATCTTTATTTTTGGATAAATGTTCATCTCGTCAGGTAAAAAGGTTTGGGGGTAAAATGAGTCTTAGGTGTTTCATGAACGTTAAAAACAAAGGTTTACCTGAGACTGTTGGTCCCAGGAGTGAAACCAGCTCCCTGAACAAGGTAGTCGCCGGCAGCTGGGTTATTAAAGACGGAGAGGGAGGTCATGAGTTGGGAGGATGGAGGAAGCAGCAGAGGATTAGAAGAAGATAGAGGAGGAGACGGTGTGGATGATCGCGGTGCGCTGACGTCTGAAATGTTGGTCTTGAAACCTTCTGTTGAAGCTTTGTGGTCTAAAGTCAAGCTCAAAGTCGAATCTCTGGATGTCGTCAGAACATTTCTGTCACTTTTCTTCTTTGGGTCCGGAGCCGGTGTTGGTTTTTGAGTTTTGGGGATCACAGAGGACCTCGTGTGCTGGTGGGTCTTCAGTGGGTTTTGTTTGGGGTGAGGAACTTTGAAGGAATCTGCATCGGATTCTGAGGCACCTGAGTTTCCATAAGCCTTCAGGGTTGGCTTCACTGGTTGATTAGTAGAACTGATAGGTACTAACTGAGAAGCCAAATCCTCTTGGTTCTCTTTTTCTGAGTTATTCGTCACTTTCACAACAGCTGTTCCAACCAAATTTAAAGTAAATCTGTCATCTTTAGCCACTTTGGTGTTCTGCCCTGCAGAAGCTTTAAAAGATCCATCTGAAGTTTGGGACAAAAGAACCACACCTTCTGGGATTTCTGTCACCGGATTCAAGTACCCGTGACAAGACCTAAAGTCCCTTTTGTCTATAAGTTCTCTGTCTTTTGAAAGAGCTCTTGAAGTGAACTCTACCTTAGAAATTTTCAGGCTTGAGAGTTCTTTAGGTACGGCAGCGGTGTTGTGGGTAGAAGTGGTTTCTGTGGATGGCTGTTCAGAAAGATGTGAAGGAAAAGTCTTGGAAGAACTGTTGAGGATGTTTGTGTTGGGTTTTGGACTGCTGTTTGTGGTAGTCTTTTGGTTCTTGGGTAGGACCTTAGGACTTTTAGAGGCATCTTCTTGTTGGTCAAACTGAAATTCTGCTACAGGACTCGTTTTGTAAGGCTTTGAGTCATGAAACATCGCAGGGGCCATGTTCGACACTTTCATTGTTGGGTTGCTCCAGCTCTTTAGAAACTCTTGGGTTGGCTCAGGTTTGCATAAACTTGTGTTCTTCTCTGGATCTGGCCCACAACAGTTCTTGTCTTCAATGTTTTGTGGGAGGTCTTTTTTCGGTTCTGGAGGCGTAACACTTTCTTGTTTTGATTTAGTTGTTGTTAAGTTTTTCTTCTTTAGGGTCACTTCTGCCTCTGTTTCATCTGGTGGCTTGGAAATAAAGGTTTTAGTTGTTTTAGAAGCCTCTGACTCGTTCTTTATCTCTGCACTGGTGAGTTTCTCTGGTTTAGTTTTCGTGGGGCACTGTGTGGTGTTGTGGATTATCTTGTTGCCAAATGTTTTGGGTTGTGTGGACAACAGAGATTCTGTGGTGTTACGATTGGTTTTGGATAATTTTGAAGGTTGTTTTCCTTTTGGTTTATCTATTATGTCCTTGTTTACGCTCTCATCTGTGTCTTCAGGTTGTTTCTTGTCTTTGCCTCGACAGTTTTTCTCATCTCTCTTATTCGTATCCGACCTTGGGATTTTGGTAATTTGGGGAAGTGTGGAGTTTTCTCTGTGCTCCTTTTGGATTTTGGCATTTAGGTCATCTAAAAATCTGTGCAAACACACACAAAAAAATACATTTTAAAGATAATAGAGAAAGTAGATCAAACTTGACACATGGAAATGTAGAAAACAAAGATGTACCTGATATGGAAAGTGTCTTGTGTGAAGAGAGGATGCTGTAAAAGCTCAGAACACTGAGCTCGTTTTTCTGGATCCATCTCTAGACACCTCTGAAACACAAAGCAAGTCTTATATTATGCTTTAGTCAGGTAAACCAGTTAATCTGAGCTGTACCTGTGCCAGGTAAAGTGCATTTGGTGGGATTTGGGGGAAGCGTTGATGCAGTGAGATGGTGCTCGAACATTCTGGTAGATTGACTCCAGAAAAAACTGGATTTCTGTAAAATACCTCCTGGTGATGAGTCATCAGGTCACCTGGAGGAAAGAAGAATTAACTTGGTTGAAAAAAGCAACAACTTGATGATGTTTGGTTTAAGTGCTTACCAAAGCACCTGACGATGTGGAATATTTGGTCGAGGTCAGAGTCTCCGGGAAACAGAGGCTGTCCTGTTAACATTTCTATTACCAGGCAACCCAGAGCCCAAACATCTACTGGTCTACAAAAACACACATTTACACATATTAATGGTTTTTTAACAACATCTACCATCAGTTCCATGCAAAGAGACTTACTTGCCATATTTGATATCTCCCACCAGCAGTTCAGGCGCTCTGTACCATCGAGTAGCTACATAGTCTGTGTAGACACCTCCTTCAGAGGGTGACAAAATGGTTCGTGCAAAACCAAAATCACACAGCTTGACCACACTGTCCCGAGAGATGAGAATATTCTCAGGTTTGATGTCTCTGTGGATTACCTGGGATTAATAAAATGATCAAACAGTACTTCATAGACAAATACACAAGATGGCAGCATTTATTTTTACAAAACCCTTGACTGTTACTGTTTTTCAGATGTCTGGTGTGTTGTCTGGTGTGTTATTGGTGTACATTTCACATGTCGTCAAATTTCTATCAGTTTCTCTCTTTACGGTTCTTATTTTCTCTTCTTCTTTTTCTTGTTTACAATAGCATTAAAAAATCTTTACTGTAAGTCATTTGGAGGAAATCATCCATCCATCCATCCATCCATCCATCCATCCATCCATCCATCCATCCATCCATCCAACTATACATTCATCCATCCATCCAACTATAATTTCATCCATCCATCCAACTATACATTCATCCATCCAACTATACATCCAACCATCCATCCATTCATTCATCCAACTATATATTCATCCATTCATCCATCCATAAACTATCCATGCATCCATCCATCCATCCATCCATCCATGCATCCATCCATCCGTCCATCCATCCATGCATCCATCCATCCATCCATCCATCCATCCATCCATCCATCCATCCATCCATCCATCCAACTATGCATCCATCCATTCATCCAACTATACATCTATCCATTCATCCAACTATACATCCATCATCCATCCAACTATACATCCATCCATCCAACTATACATTCATCCATCCATCCATCCAAATATACATCCATCCATCCATCCATCCATCCATCCATCCAAATATCCATCCATCCAACTATACATTCATCCATCCATCCATCCATCCATCCAACTATACATTAATCCATCCAACTATACTTTTATCCATCCATCCATCCATCCATCCATCCATCCAACTATACATCCATCCATCCATCCAACTATACATTCATCCATCCATCCATTCATCCAACTATACATTCATCCATCCATCATTCATCCATCATTCATCCATCCAACTATACATACATACATACATACATTCATTCATTCATCTGTACATTCATCCATCCATCCATCCATCCATCCAGCTATACATCTATCATCCATCCATCCATCCATCCAACTATACATTCATCCATCCATCCATCCAACTATACATACATACATACAGTACATACATACAGTACATCCATCCATCCATCCATCCATCCATCCATCCATCCATTCAACTATACATTCATCCATCCATCCATCCATCCAACTATACATACATACATACAGTACATACATACATACAGTACATCCATCCATCCATCCATCCATCCAACTATACATTCATCCATCCATCCATCCATCCATCCATCCATTCAACTATACATTCATCCATCCATCCATCCATCCATCCATCCATCCATCCATCCATCCATCTATACATTCATCCATCCATCCATTCATTCATCCAACCATACATTCTTCCATCCATCCATCCATCCATCCACTCCCATTTATCTGTGGTTTGATATATTATTCAATGTTTGATCTTTCATCCTCACGTTTTGTTGGTGACAAAAATCCACCGCCCTCAGGACTTGGAACAGGTATGTCCGGCAGGTGCTGAGGTCCAGTCCATTGGGGTTCTGTTCCAGATCCTCCAGAAGAGTCCGATCCACAAACTCAAAGACCAAGTACCAGCGGTGACGACGCTTCCACACCTCCAGGAGGTTCACCAGGTTGTCGTGACGGAGTTGCTTCCAAAATTAAAAAAATACGGACAAATTCAGTACAAATGTAGGTTCTCTCTGTCTTGTGTCCAACCTAGCATCTGTCATCTAATTTTAAACCCTAATGCTAGAATCTGATGAGAATGACCTAATCTAACATATGGATCATTGTCTTGGCTGTTTCTTGAGTCTATAAAAATGCACATCATACCAAGCAACAACAGAAATATTGTGAAGTCTTGGTGAAAACAAGGATTACTTTCTTTAAATATTTTTAAGTGATGTTTCTCACTCTGTTTTTTTTAAGTGAGTCATACTAACTCTGACTGGTTGATAAAATCTTCTACGTTTCTGTATTTTCTCATGGTGACCTGAAAACTAACTGAAAACTGACCCTTAAGTTCTGTTATTTCATGCTCAGCTGATTGGGTTGGGTTTCAGGCTCCTACAGACACAGGTTCAGTTCTGCAGTGACGGACAGGTCGATGTGTTGACTGACAGGTACCCTGAGCAGCTTGACTTCCCTGAGGGCGATCTTCTTCACCGTCTTATCCTGGTCCGAGTCCAGGAACTTCTTGATGGCGACGAGGCGACCCGAGTCTCGATGGCGGCACTTTAGAACGATGCCGTAACTGCCCTCCCCGACTGGACCCAGAGACTCGTAACGCTCCATCAGGCTCTTATTCTGAAAGGACAGGAAGCCACATTCAAATTGGTTTTTATTTGTTAGATAAATTTGATACAATTTCCTAAACGCATTTGTTTTTAGCTTTCAAGGAGCTAAACTTTTTTTTCGTCTTTAGTTCAGTTTTTTGTTGTATTTGGCTTATTTTTCATTTATTTTCAGAGGAATTATTGTTGTTTTTTATTTTAAAATATTTTTTGTTAGAATTTTGAAGCAGGGGATCTGCAGAAATGTTATAGATCAGGGGTTTTCAAACTTTTTGGACCTGGGAACGACTTACAAGGGTGAGGGGACCCCCTCATAAACCCCATGCTGTTTTTCTTTATCACTTTAATTTTAACCCCTAAATGCTATAAGAATATTATGTTTGGTTTGGTTTAGTATGTTTATTTTACTAGTGCATTGTTCCTCATGTGCATTTTTTAAAATAAAAAACAAATGAACAATTTATTGCAATTATTTGAGGACCCCCCGAGTTATGGCTCACGGACCCCTGGGGGTCCTGGGACTCCAGTTTGAGAACCTTTGTTATAGACAATCAATATCTTACCTGCTTTATTTCTGGTCCGATTGAGGAACAAACCTGGTTTCTATCAAAGTAAACAACAACAACAACAACAACAACAACTTAAGAACCAAAAAGAAAAAAACTGTATAGGTCTTCTGGACGGGTTCTTCTCTAATGAAACGTTTCGTCTCTTCTCCAAGAGACTTCTTCAGTCTGAGAGTTTCAGGCTAAATTCAGGCTTTTAAGCCCTGCCTCCATGTGACTGATACTCACATCACATGGCTATCATTGACACCTAATTAACACTTAGTTAACAATTAGTCAGATTGTGGAATATTCTGGAAAATGATGTGAAAAGTGCCAAATCAAAGTACATGTTCAAGAGAATGATAAAGGTTAGATTGTTAAAAATATATAAAACAATATAATCTGTGTCCATG